GTGTACAGCCCCTATAGCAAACATACCTCTCTCTCTGTAAAAAAAAAAAAAAAAAAGAGAGCATTATCAATACTTTTGAAGTGATCCTTTTTTTTTTGTTTGTTTTTTGTTTTTTGAGAGATTTTCACTGTAGGGCGCGTGCGCTCGCCAGACAGACAGAGAGAGACATAGAGACAGAAAGCGAGAAATCACCCCCCAGGGGGGATGGTCACGCCGCAATCCCTTCTCCTCCATTCTCCTCTTGCGATCTTGGGCACGCACGCACACGCGCCCGGCATGAGTTTTAAGCCACCGGGTCCGGGACACGAACCGCGGTCGACTACGTGGGAGTCCAGCGACATAGCCATTACGCTAACTGCTGGTTCCCTGAAGTGATCCTTTTTGATTATCCTCCTTCTCTTCCCTCCAGGGAAAATCAATATGCTGAAGAGTGTGTGTGTGTGTGTGTGTGTGTGTGTGTGTGTAGCTTGAAACAGAGTCTTGCTGTGTTGCTAACCTCCTGCCTCAGCTTCCTAACTGGGACTACAAGCACGGGCCACCATCCCTGCCTTTTCAAACAAACCCAGGTCTCCTGTGTGGCCTCAGCCTGCCCATGCTACATGTGCATGCATGCATGCTCAAAATCCTAAAAGGGAGAATGGAGGAAAAGGGATTGTAGTGTAATCGTTCCCCATGGAGAACACTTTCTGACTCTCTCTGACAAGCACACGCTCCCTCTGGCAAAATTAGAAAAGGGGGGGGGGCGGCTAGTAGTTAAGGCACTAGACTCCCACATGACCGACAGCAGTTCCAGTCCCAGACCTGGTGACTTAAAAGTCACACCGGGCACATGTGCAGAGAGGAGAATGGAGGAGAAGGGATTGTGGCATGGCTATCCCTCCTGGGGTGTGATTTCTCACTTTCTGTTTCTCTGTTTCTTCCGTGAGCACACACACCATATAGCAAAACTCTCTTAAAAAAAAAAAAAAAGGAAAAAGGAAATTGGACATACAAGTTTATTTTGGTGCAAAAATATTTTTAATCCATGCATATTTTTTCACAATATGTATTTTCTATGACCTTTCAAAAATTGCCATAGGGTTCATGTGCATGTACACCTGCCACATTACTGCACCTGGGCTGTATCCTGAATTTTACATGAATAAGTCCTTGCTTTTTTTCTTTTTAATAATATATATCCTATAACAGTTTTTGTTTTGTACGTTTTCTTTCTTCTTCTTTTTTTTTTCTCTTTTTTTTATTGCCAGAGAGAGAGAAAGCACCCCTTCCTCATGGGGTGTGGTCACACTGCAATCCACTTTCCTTCATTCTCCATTCCGCCAGGATTTGGGGCACACATGCACCAAGGCCACAATCTGAATTGGGTCAGCCCTGTGGGATCCAGTTTCCTATGCGTAGTCTTTAACTGCTGCACAGGGGGCCTACACTTTTTTTTTTTTCCAAGAAAAAAAGCAAGTGACAGAGAAAGAGTGAATGGGAAAGAAAAAGAAAGATGAGTTTTTTTTTTTTTTTTGAGAGTTTTTTTTGCTATAGGGTGCGTGCGCTCGCCAGACAGACAGAGAGAGACATAGAGACAGAAAGCGAGAAATCACCCCCCAGGGAGGATGGTCACGCCGCAATCCCTTCTCCTCCATTCTCCTCTTGGGATCTTGGGCACGCACACACATGCGCCCGGCGTGAGTTTTAAGGCACCGGGTCCGGGACGCGAACCGCGGTCGACTATGTGGTAGTCCAGCGACATAGCCATTACGCTAACTGCTGATTCCCAAAGACGAGATTTTTTTTTAGACAGGGTCTCGGCATGCTGCAATCCACCTTCCCCCACTAGGACCACTGGTATATGCCATGCCTGGCTATTTAGGTTGGGCCAGGAACTGAAACTGGACCTTGCCCTGTGGCCTGAGCCATCCTACAGAGGTACTCTTCCATGTGTACCACCATAGCTGGACCCATTTAGACTTTAAAACTTCAATATTGGGCTGGCCCTGTGGCATAGTGGTTAAGGGAGTCAGACCCCACAAGGCCAACTATGGCTCCAATCCCTGCCCTGGTAGTTTGAAAACTATGCCAGATACACATGTGTGCATCCCCAGAATCCTAACAGGATAAAGAAATGGAGAAGGGATTATGGTGTGACCATGCCACATTAGGGAATGCTTTCTCCCTCTCTCTCTCTCTCTCTCTCTCTCTCTCTGGTTAGCATATGAACCCCTATGATAATTTTTTAAGTTCATAGAAATTACATAATGCAAAAAACTATACATGGACTTAAAAATTGTTTTGAACCAAAATAAACTTGTATGTTAATTTCCTTTTATCCTTTTCTTTTTTTAAAAAGAGAGTTTTGCTATAGGGTGTGTGTGCTCACTGAAGAGACAGAGAGAGACAGAGAAACAGAAAGTGAGAAATCACACCCCAGGAGGGATAACTACACCACAATCCCTTCTCCTCCATTCACCTCTCTGCACGTGTCCGATGAGAGTTTCTTTTTTTTCTTTTTTTGGAGAGGTTTTCGCTACAGGGCGTGTGTGCTAGCCAGACAGACAGAGACAGACATAGAGACAGAAAGCAAGAAATCACCCCCCAGAGGGGATGATCACGCCACAATCCCTTCTCCTCCATTCTCCTCTCGGGATCTTGGGCACGCACGCACACGCACCCAGCGTGAGTTTTAAGCCACCGGGTCCGGGACTTGAACCACGGTCGACTATGTGGGAATCCAGCGACATAGCCATTACGCTAACTGCTGGTTCCCCCGATGAGAGTTTCAAGCCCCAGATCTGGGACTGGAACTGCTGTCAGTCATGTGGGAGTCCAATGCTTAACCACTAAGCCACCCCCCACCCCCGCCTTTTAAAAAATATTGCTAGAGAGAGTGTGTGCTTGTCAGACAGAATCAAAGAGAGAGATACAGAAAGTATTCTCCATGGGGAATGGTTACACTAAAATCCCTTTTCCTCCATTCTCCCTTTTAGGATTTTGGGCCTACATTTGGCATGTTTTTTTCTGTTTTTTTTGTTTTTGTTTTTGTTTGTTTGTTTGTTTTGCTGTTGTTGTTGTTTGCTTGCTTAGTTTTTGCTATAGGGCATGTGTGCTTACCAAAGAGAGAGTGGAAAGAGAGAGAGAAACAGAAAGAGACAAAGAGAGAGAGTGAGAAATCACTCCTAAGGGGGGATGGTCATGCTGCACTCCCTTCTCTGCTTCTCTCTTCTTTTCAAGATTTTGTGCACACATGCACATGCAGCCAGCATGTTTCTCAAGCTACTAGGTCCAGGACTCAGACTGTGCTGTCAGTCATGTTGGATCCAGACACCTTAACCACCACACCACCCGGCTGGCCCACCAATCTTTATCAATTTTACCAATCAATTTTTTACAGAACAGTAGCAAATACATGGTGAATTAACATACATATAGTAAATAACATACATATCTTGAATCTACTCAATGAAGTTTTACTTGCATAACTATTTTCCAGATGAAGACACAGCAGCACAGAAGATTCCCCTCATGCCCCCTCCCAGTTAATACCCCTCATAAACACAACCACTATCCTACCGCTATAGCTTCATTTTATCTATTCTTGAATTTTCTGTGCTGTCTTCTTTAACTCAACATTAGACTTTTTAGTTTAGATCGCTGTCTTCCACTTTGTTTCTTACAATTTATTTCTTTCATAAGTGAGAGAGACAAAGAAAGAAGACAGCACCCCTAACAGGTGACACACTGTGACACAGCCCTAGCCTTCAGCAAGCTCTGGCTCAGGGGCACATGTGTGCCTTGCACGCTCAGGGAGGTTCCTGGATTCCAGCAGGGAACCTTCCCACAGGGGATCCTTTGCAGAGTGTTGTGTTTTAGTGCTGCACTGCTGTCGGACCTCTAGCACCCCCCCTTTTTTTTTTTAATGTTTGTCTTACATTTATAAGGTTTGATGAAATGATTTAATTTTTTCCTAAGATTTGACTCAGACAAACCTGCACATCAATATGTAACTTAACTACTGCCACCTGGTGTTAGACGATCTAAAATTCAAGGGCGATAATTGAGAAGAGTTCATTTCACAGCATGAAACCTCTCTTAAAATATCACAAAATAGCTGGGACCAGCAGATGGCATAATGGTTAGGTCGCTGGACTCCAATGGAGGAGAAGGGATTGCAGTGTGGCCATCCCCCCAGGTGGTAATTTCTCACTTGCTGTCTGTCTGTCTGTGTCTCTCTGTCTCTTTGGCAAGTGCACGCACACTATAGTAAAAATCTCTCCCTTAAAAAAAAATTACAAAATAGGGCCAGCAGGTGGTGTGGTGGCTAGACTCCCATATGACTGACTGCGGTTCAAATCCTGGACCTGGTGATGTGCTTTCTCTCACCTGTCTCTCTCTGGTGAGTGCACCTGCCCTTTAAAATTGAAAAATAATAATAATGATAAATTAAAATTAAATAAACAATTCTTTAAAAATATTACAAAATAAAAATCATATTAATAGCCAATCCAAATGAGAGAATCTTCTAAAATATGAAATATAAAACAAAAGTCTTATGGGCGCCAAGTCAGTTCTTTAAGTTCATGCTTAGGCTTTGATGTGACTTACCTTTTTACATCTATGTAAGTCTTGTGCTTTTTAAAAAAGCACAAGAGATTTACTGGAATTACAGAGGCAATTGAGATCAAAAGAGTGGAAAACATGGCAAGAGTAAAGAAAGAAATTAGGATTCTACCGAGTTTGCACCATATCTATTTCTTAAAATCCTTAGGGAAACAGGATTTCAGTAGTGGTATTTAGCACATGCTATTTATTAAGCATGAGGATAATTACCTTTCCCTCGGCATCAGCAACTTTAGATTTCTCCTGAGCCAGCTTTTCCTGTAGGTTGTTCTGTGATTTAATGCTCTGAGCCTGTGTAAGTACTTCCAGCTCCAGTTCCTTGATTTTCTGCTGACAGTGCTTCCACTCTGCTGTGAGTGAAGAGCACGTCTTCGCACTGTCTAATATCTTCTGCTGGGCTTGCTTTAGTTCAATTTTGATCTAGAGGTGGGGAATAAATAAGTGATAAAAATAGACATGAAAAGAATGTGAATGTGAGCCAGAATAAGCAGCTTTCAGAGACGTGGAGTCCCCTGAAAGCTGACAAGTACCAATGTCACGCACCTGATTACGTCTCTGGTGTTAGGAAGGTTTGCCAAAGTTTGTCCAGTCAGATGGCAGCTGGACAAAGCAATTTTCCTAACTGTCCAACTACGCGTGGCTTAAACATTTTCCATCTTTTCTTCAATCTATTCTAAGCTGGCTTTCATCTCCACTACTTCAGTGAAATCATTTCTGCCACGGGCACTAACTGACCACCTTCCTGTTGCCAAAACAAATTGAATGGACGTGGACGTGACAGTAACAGAACGTCTCCTGTCTAGGAGTCTGGGATACCAAACACTCCTGGTTTTCACTTCCTTGTCTGCTGTTCCTTCCTGGTCTCCTTTGTAGACTTTTTAAATGTTGGCCAACCCCCAAATATTATTGGACCACCTAGGCCTAGAGAATGGGTGAGTATCTCTCTGGGTTCTTCCTGTGATTGGAAATGCCATTTTTATGCTAATAACCACATCACCAAAAGCAAACTCCTGGATTTTGCCCCAATTTCCAAAGTTGTTTTTCTCAGTCTTTTTTTTTTTTTTTTTTAAGAGGCCTTTGCCATAGAGCACATGTGCTTGTGGAGAAAGAGAGACAGAGACAGTAAGAGCGAAAGTGAGAAGGTGAGAAATTATCCCCCGGAGGGATGGCCATGCTGCAATCCCTTCTACACTCTCCTCCTGGGATCATGGGCATGCGCGCACACACTCTGGTGTGATTTTTTTCAAGCCATCGGGTCCCGGGACTTGAACTGTTGTTGGCCATGTGGGAATCCAGCGACATAACCATGACGCCATCTAGTGGCCCCATCTTGAGTTCATTAAATATAATACCACTATCCCATCTTTTTTTGTACATGAAATAACCTGAAAGTCACCCTGGAGCCTCCCTTTTCCACACTGAATGAATTCCAGCCATTTTAGTACATGCCGTCATTCTATTTCCCCAGCATATCTCACATCAATCTACTGAGGTCATTTTTGCCACCACCCTAGCAGATCATCATTGTTAGACTGGACTGGAGCCTCCACACTGGTCCTACACTTCCGTTTTCACTCCCTTCTGATCTGTGCAGTCAAAGTACACCTTTAAAAATGAAAGACACAAACATTTAATGGACACAAAAATGGAAAATTATCGGTTGATGATAACATGTGATAATATCTTTAACTGGGCTAATATATGGTGTATTCATGCTGAGAAAATTCCTTTTATATACTGTAAAGATATACAGTAATCTAATGTATAAATTAAAAAATGCAAATTGGGGAACAGCAGGTGGCGTGGTGGTTAAGGTGCTGGACTTCCATGTGGCTGATTGCAGTTTGAATCCTGGACCTAGCAATTACTTTTTCACGTTCCCTCTCTCTCTCTCTCGCTGGTGAGCACATGCCCTATTGAAAATTTTAAAAATAATAATAAATATAGGACCAGCAGGTGGTGTGGTGGTTAAGGCGCTAGACACTCTCACATGGCCAGCAACGGTTTGAGTCCCGGACCTGGTGGCTTACTTTCTCACGTTCCCTCTCTCTCTTTCTCAGTGTGTATGTCTCTCTCTCTGGTAAAAGTAAAATAAATGAATGAATAAATAAAATTAAATAAAAAATAATTCTTAAAAAATAATAATATATAAAAAGAAATAATTCTAACAAAATTTAAAGATCACAAATTGAACCATTTGACTCTGTTGCTTAAAAATCTTTCAGTAGTGGGACCAACAGATGGTGTAGTGGTTAAGGTGCTGGCCTCCCACATGGCCAACCGTGGCCTGAATCCCAGATCTGGTGGTTTGAAACTCACGCCTGGCATATGTGTGTGAGTGCCCAAAATTCTGAGAGGAGAATGGAAGAGAAGGGGTTGCAGTGTGGCCATCCCCCTGGGGAGGGTGGTTTCTCATTTTCTGTCACTTTCTCTGTCTCCCCAGTAAGTGCATGTATGCACCCTCTAGCAAAAATCTCAAAAACATATTTTGTTTAGTGGTTTCCCATCACCCTGGGAACGTACCCCGGCAGCTGCCTGGCCTTGTATAACCTGGGCCTGTCCTATCTCTTTAAGTCATCCTGCTATTCCCTCGTCTCCCTGGGAACTGCTGAGCTGGCTTCTACTGAGTTTCCTGCATGCGGAGTTCTTTCCACATTCCCTCTGCCAAGGATGCTTTCTCTTTTCCCTTTCATTGTATGGTTATCTGACTATCCTTCCGGTCTTAGTTTAAATGTCACTCTACAGGAGAAAATTTTCATAACCATTTAGGTCTCCTTACTCATGGTACCACTACACCAGACTCCTTTCCTTCATTGAACTTACCACAGTTGTAGTCAAATATGCATCTATTAGCCTGTTTCTCATCCATCTTCCCCACTCGGAAATCAAGAGAGCAGACACCATGGTTTTATCTACCTCTCCTACCCTAGGCTTATCAAAGTGTCAGAGTAGGTAATTACTCAATGTTTACTGAGCGAGTAAATGAATGGTGTAAGGAATATCAGAGGCTGATGAATAAACTAGGTGGGGAAGATGCACATGCAAAAATGCTGAGAGAGAAGTTTTACTCTGTCCTCAAGAAAAACAGAATTCCCCAACCTCAAATCTTTTCCACAGAATTAGTGGGTGTTATAATTATGATGTAAGCCATCTGTAACATTTGTGTATTAGCCAATCAGATTATATCAAGGGAGGCTAAAAGTTAATAGTATTTATTTATTTATTTATTTATTTTTGGAGAGGATTTTGCTATAGGGTGCGTGCACTCGCCAGAAAGACAGTGAGACAGAAAGTGAGAGGCCACCACCCTCTTGGGGGAGGGCCATGCTGCAATCCCTTCTCCTCCATTCTTCTCCCAGGATTTTGGGAAATCAAGAATATAAACCTGGCATGGTTTTCAAGCCACTAGGTCTGGGACTCAAACTATAGTCAGTTATGTGGGAGTCTAGCACCTTAACTACTACGCCACATGCTGGCCCCACTGTCACTGTATTTTATAATAAAAAAAGGAAAATATGATGGGGAACCAGCAGGTGGTGTGGTGATTAAGGTGCTGGACTCCCATGGCTGACCATGGTTTGAGTCCCAAACCTGGCAGCTTGCTCTCTCACTTTCTCTCTCTCTCTCTCGTAAGCACTAATGTCCTGTAGCAAATTAAAAAATAATAATAACAATAAATAATTCTTTAAGGAAAAAAAAAAGAAGATATGATGGATAAGTCTCTGCATATTTTTTTTTTTAATTGCCAGAGGATGTGTACACTTCTGGGGGGAGGGAGGATGGGAGAAAGCAGCTCCCAGTGAGGTGTGGTTATGCTACACCCCTTCTCCAGTTTTGCACCCTGTTGGGATTTGGGGCATGCATTTACCTGTCCCTCAAGCTGCCAGGGGAGGCCTCAAACCATTATCTGTCACGTGGGACTGAGATTCTCCAACCACTAGGGTGGGCCGGCACCCTCTGCAAAAATTTCAAAAATGTAAGTGAAATGAAAATTTTTCTAGAAAAAGAAACTATACCAAAGTTGATAAAAGAAGAAATTTTTGGCACCAGCAGTTGGCACAATGGCTATGTTGCTGGACTCCCATGCAGTCGACCACAGTTCGAGTCCCAGACCCAGTGGCTTAAATTCATGTTGGGCGCATGTGTGTGCGTGCCCAAGATCCCGAGAGGAGAATGGAGGAGAAGGGATTGTGGCGTGGCCATCCCCCCCCGGGCAGTGATTTCTTACTTTCTATCTCTCTGTCTCACTCTGTCTTTCTGGCAAGTGCACATGCCCTATGGGGGGGGAAAAACATTTTGGCAAGCGCACATGCCCTATGGGGGGGGGGAACATTAAAAAAAAAGACAAGTAAAAATCCTGAAAGGAGGGAGAAATAGGAGGAACAGAGGGGAAGGGACTATGGAGTGGCCATCTCCCCTGGAGGATGATTGCTCACCACCTTCCCTCTCTCTGGCAAATGCATGTGCCCTATGGTAAAACATAATAAATAAATAAATAAATGAATAAGCGTTTCTTGGCTGCTTTCATATGTATTACTACTCAGGAAAGAACGTTACAATCATTCCTGAATGTATCTGAAACAATATGCTCTTCCATGCTGTTCAAACGCATATCCCAAGACTGGCCCTGTAGCCTCATGGTTAAAGGAGTTGGATCCCATGTGGCCAACTGCTGCTGAATCTCAGCCCTGGTGACGTGGCCACGCCCCACTGGGTGGTGCTTTCTCCCTCTCTGTATCTCTGGTGAGCATCTCTCTGGTGAGCACACATGTCCTCTGGCAATTAAAAGAAAGCGGAGCTCCATAGCCCATACCATAACCCGGGCAGCAGGCACCACTGCGTGATGCTGGACCCTTAAGGGAAGGACCAAGGTCTGGAACCTGGGGTTGATCTCAACATGCCAACATGCCCGCAGACATGCCCATCATCCTGGCTGGTTGGAAGGCTGGTGGGGATGTGGATCTTGGTGTGCCAAGACTCTGCTGGGGGTGGGGGGTCTCTATCTTCTTTCCTTCTCTGTTGATAACTAAATAAATAAACTTTTTTTTCCTTCCCTAAAGCAAAAGTCTTTGGATACAATTTTCTCCAGCATCCAGAGTGCTCAGCTTCTGACCCTCATTTCTGACCTCATTTCCTCATTTTACATTAATTTCTAAAGACCAGACATGTTAATAAACACATGATAAAAATGATCAAACACTTTATTAAACAAAATAGAAATGAATGTACATAGAAATAAGGAATAAATTCTAAGAGCAAAATGCCTTGAAATCATTGGTGGATTCAATATAGGTCAATAGAAAAAAAAGATACTATAATAAGCTTATGTCTTTGATATTACCAAAAAGAAAGTCTCAGATACTATAATAAGCTTATGTCTTTGATATTTCCAAAAAGAAAGTCTAAATCAAAATCAAATTTTAATAAAAGCTTCCTATTTTTCAAGTGAAAACCTCTTTTCCTCCCTGCCATTTTATTTCATTATTTATTTTAAAGTTTTTTCTATAGAACATGTGTACTCACCAGAGAGAGATAGAGGAAGAGAAGGAAAATGAGAAAGCACTTCTTAGGCGGGCTGGGCATGCCACCATCACTTCTCCTCTCTTTTCCTCTTTAGATTTTGGGCACACGTGCCACTTGTGTTTTCCAAACCACTGGGTCCAAGATTAGAACCACATGGTAGGATGTGTGGGATCCAGCTGCACTAACCACCATGCCACTGGCTGGCCCTCTCCCTCCTATTTTAGATCAGTTCAACTTTTCTCTCATTTTTTTCTCCCTCATTTTATTCTGGAGGATGATACAGCTTTTGAAACTTCATTGACAGGAATGAATCTATTAATGTTGATTTCTTCTCAAAAGGACTCTACTCTTAGCAATGTTAGTAGCTTTATTTACTATTATTATTATTATTATTATTGGAGAGGTTTTTCTATAGGGCCTGTGTGCTCACCAGAAAGACAAAGAGAGACAGAGAGACAGAAAGCGAGAAGTCACCCCCCAGGGGGATGGCCACGCCACAATCCCTTCTCCTCCATTCTCTTCTTGGGATCTTGGGCCACTCGCACACGTGCCTGGCGTGAGCTTAAGCCACCGGGTCTGGAACTCGAACAACGGTCGACTACATGGGAGTCCAGTGACATAGCCATTATGCCAAATGCTGGTCCCCAGAAGCTTCATTTTTCAAGAACAATTTAGCCATGAAAAAACTCAGTAAGAAACAGACAAATTCAAATGAATAGATAAGAAGCAATAAAGATATCTCAAAGAAACCAGGAAATCTAAAAAAAAAAAAAAAGAAAAAGAAAAGAAAAAGAAAATAGGAAATCTAGTGTTGGATATTGGTGAATTAGATTGGTTTAGGGTTATGAAACCTAAATTTCTCATTTTGAATAGAAATAATTAATTAATTAAAATAATTAATTAATTTTATTTTATTTATTAGTATTATTTTAAAACTTTGACCAGAAAGAGACAGAGAGGAAGAGAGGGAAAGTGAGAAAGCAAGCTGCCAGGCTGGGGATCAAACCATGGTTGGCCATGTGGGAGTTCAGCACCTCAACCACCATGCCACCCGCTGGCTCCCACCTTCTTTTTATAGTATGTTGTCCATTTACTCCTGAGGCCCAGAGAATGAAAGGCATTGGGCCTATGATCATCACAGAGCCAACGCTCATCATTTTGGTGCTGCTGGTAATGATGAAATAAGACACCGCAGGAGCAAGTGGTGCTGTGGCCAACGGCCTGGACGTCCCGGGCGCTGCTTCCCCTGCTTCCCCTTTCGGCTGGGACATGTGAGCACCAGGAAGAGGATCCAGTACCCTGTCCCACAGTTGCTATTGAGAGTGACTCTCTGCCTCAAGCTCTGCGAGCCTATAATATTCTTTTCACTAGTCCCAAACTGAAAACATGCAAAATATCCTTAAGCCAGGGAAAAGGCAAATATATTATGGTATTTTCTTACAACAGAATACTATACAGTATAAATTGTGTTTGATGGGAAAGACAAAAGGCTGTCTGGCAAAGAAATGTGATAAAGGTTTGGAATTTAACTGAAAACTACAAAGGCTTGGGAGACTATAGTCAATTTTTTACGTTTTTATTTATTTTTCTCCACATTTGGGGACCCTCCCCTACCTTTCTGATGTTCTTGTGTTAGGAAGAACAACTTTGCTCTCCAGCGGATACGTGATCAAACCAACACTACTGAATACACGTACTGGGTCTAAGTAAATCTAGTCACACACAAGTAGGGCAGGACAACTAGGGTTTTGGTTCAAGTCATTGAAATTCAGTAAGTGCTGAAGATTTTAAATAATAATTTCAAAAGACTATAAAATTTAGAAACTTTTTCTGGGTTGATTTGGTACAGCAGCAATGAGCTATTCAGGGACCAGCAGATTGCATAATGATTACATTGCTGGACTCCCACGTAGTCGACTGTAGTTTGAGTTCTGGACCCGGCAGCTTAAAACTCATGCCAGGCATGTGTGTGTGCGCATGTCCAAGATCACAAGAAGAGACTGGGGGAGAAGGGATTGTGGTGTGGCCATGTCCCCTGGGAGGATAATTTCTTGCTTTTTGTCTCTCTCTCTTTCTCTCTCGCTCTGGTGAGCACATGCACCCTGTAGCAAAAAAATCTCTAAAATAAAAAAAAGAAAGAAATTAATGAGCTGTTCAAATGATGCTGCATCCATATGGAAGATCTCACATTTGATTCCCCAGTCAAGTCACAGACCCTGGGCACACGTGCCCATGATCCTGGTCAGCTGAGAAGGCTGGGGAAAGGGTTTAGAGGGTTACAGTATGAGACTTTGTTACAGTGCTTCTCGCTCTCTCTCTCTCTCTCATAAAAGAAAGAAATAAACTTAAAAAAAATTATTTCCTATTGGTGGTCAGAAAAGTCATGACACATTTTCGCGTAGAAAAACATGTCATGATTTTGCTGAAGGCCCAATATTTGAAAGTTCTTGGCCTATAAACTGTTTCAACAGCAAAGAAAAAAACCAAATTCTGTCCTTATTTAGTAGGAAAAACTTAAAGGAGGAAGTTACTGGATAGTTCACATTGTCTACTCATTTGTGGATTCTATCATGAATTATAAAGTCCAGGGCCCTTCAATAAAGGATGTGCCCACTAGAATTACCTTAATATTTTCTTCCTGAAGTAAGCTGTTATGTTGCTTTAAGTCTAAGTTCTTTCCCCGCTCATATCGAAGCTCTTTTTCGGCTGAGTTGCATAGTATCTGGAGCCGGTGCAAATTCTGACGAAGTTGTACTTCCTCTTGCTGTTGGAGTTTTTCTCCAGATGATGAACACTAATGCAAACATTTTAAAAGAAAATTATGGACAATTAGAAAGAACACTGGGGGACCAGCAGATGGCGTTAATGGTTACGTTGCTGGACTCCCATGAAGTCAACTGTGATTTGAGTTGCAGACCTAGCGGCTTAAAACTCACACCAAGTATGTGTGTGCGCGGCCCAAAATCCTGAGAGGAGAACGGAGGAGGAGGAGTTGTGTTGTGGCCATCCTTCCTGGGGAACAATCTTTTGCTTTCTGTCTCTGTCTCTATGGCAAACACGTATGCCCTAAAGCAAAAAAAACCCCAAAAACAAAAATGGCTCTCTTAAAAAAGAAAAGAAAGAATACTGGTTAAACATGGGTTCAAGCTGTCAGAATTTTCAGAATGTGGTTATTCATCTGTGAATAATTTTGGAAATAGCTTATCTAGAACAGATTACTCTTAGCCTTATGGTTAGTTAGTGCATGTTCATATAATCTAACTTCTGTTATACTGGAGTGAAAATTATGGAAATTATGGAGCAAAAATCTGTCAGGCATAGACAACCTTCTTATATTTTATTTCAATGAAGGGCAACAGAAGCATGTACAATTTTAGACTGAAACACACTTAGATGGGGAATTCAAAGAGTCAATGTATGGAGTGGAGGGGTGTGTGTGAAGTGGGAATAGGAGCAGAAAATGTCATCTTAAACTCCCAACATTCTTCATCACTATCTTTTTATACCTAATGATTCTCTTTCAGATGAAGTGGGAATAGGAGCAGAAAATGTCATCTGAAACTCCAAAGCTTCTTCATCACTATCTTTTTACTACCTAATGATTCTCTTTCAGTTACTTCTCAATAGCCACATTCTCTTTAAAGGCTAAATAGTTTTACATACATATATTTACACACACACACACACACAAATACATACATACACACATATACATACACTAAACTTTGTCCTTACTTTGTAGGAAAAAGTTAAAGTTTTACACACACACACACACACACACACACACACACACGGGAGGGGCAGATATCTCTTAAACATAATGATTCCGGATCCCTTAGATATACAATGAGAAGCGGAATTGTTGGATCATATGGTAGTTTGAGTTTTTTGTTTTGTTTTGTTGAGGAATTTCTATACCATTTTCCATAATGGCTATACTAATTTACATTCCTTTTTTTCAGAGGTTTTTGGTTTAGGGCACATATGCTCACTGGACAGAGAGACAGAGACAGTGAGATGGAAAGTGAGAAATCATCCCCCACTGGGGGATGGTCACACCACAGTCCCTTCTCCTCCATTCTCCTCCCAGGATCTTAAGCATGCATATACACGTGACTGGATTTCAAGCCACTGGGTCCAGGATTTGAACCATGGTTGGTCATGTGGGAGTCCAGCGACGTAACTACTATGCCATCTGTTGGCCCCCGAATTTACATTCCTACCAACATCATACAGGCTTCAGGTTTCCCTGTACCCTCACCACCACTTATGTATTATCTCCTCCTTTTGTTTTTGCCATAGGGTGCATGTGCTTGTTGGAGAGATAGAGAGAGTGAGAAGGTGAGAAATCACCTCTCAGGGGGATGACCATACCCCAACCCCTTTTCCTCCATTCTCCTCTCCACATGATGGGCAAGAACACACATGCCTGGTGTGATGTTCAAGCCATCAGTTTCAGAGCTTGAACTGCAGTCAGCCATGTGGGAATCAGCACCCTAACCACCATGCCACCTGCTTGCTCCTCTACTGTCTTTTTAACAGCATTCTTTTCCTTTTCCTTTTATCTACATTTATTGTATGCTGACTTTATTCTTGTGCCATAAGTTTTTTGTTTCTTCCGTTTCTTCTGGGATATCTCTTTCTTCTGTGCGATTTTAGGAACAATTTGCTCCTTTCCAGTGAGGATCATTTCAATGTGGTAGGGGGAGCTCACGGGTGGGTTATTCCGCCCATGAGCTCTGTATGTACGATGGTGCATCTTGAGTGCCTTGTTCACCTGAAGATGCTCAATGACCAGAGACTCTACATCTAACCCCTTAAGTTCAGCAACACTCTGCATCTTTAAGTATGTACAGTAAAAATTCAGCACTCTTTCTGGGCCACCGGCCTTGTGTCCAGCCCCACTGTTTAGCCTGGGCACATCTACCAACTCTGTCACTGTAACTACGGAATGGCACACACAGCTTCTGTAAAGTGACATCCTTCAGATACTTGGTGGCTTTTCGAATATGTATACCCTTGATGGCCTGGGCAGTTTCACGAGCGTTCTTAAAGTGAACATGAAGATTTGAACCTCATGACTTGCATGACTTTGTGGGGTTCTCTGAGTATGGAATACTACTCAGCCATAAAAACAAGACCCTGGCACTGATAGAAAGTGGACAAATATGGAAGCTTTACTGCTGAGTGAAGCAAGCCAGGCTATGAAAGAGAGACATTGTATGTCTCCACTTAATATATACTGACTGTCCATACACTATGGTAGAAACTGAAAGATTAGAGGATATGGAAGCATGGAAAATGGTTATGGATACTAGAGACAGTGTGGGAAGAGGGTGGAGATGGAGTGAGAGGAAAGGAATCAAGGAGAAAAACAGAGGCAAGATTTTTTTTTCCAAAGAATTACTTCACTTAACTTTCTTCCATTCTTTCTTTCTTTATTTTAATTTGACCAGAGAAGGCCAGAGAGAGAGAGAGAAAGAAAGTGAGAAAGCAAGCCACCAAGTCCAGGACTCGAACTGCAGTTGACCATGTGGGAGTTCAGTGCCCTTAACCACCACACTGGCCCCTACAGGCAAGACATTTAAGGGACACAGAAATGGAGGATTGTCTGTTGATGACCACGTGTATGATATCTTCAACAGGAGTGGTGTGTAGTGTATTCACGTTGGATAAGTTCGTTTTATAAGCTGTAGTGATGTACAGTGGTTGACTATATAAAATAAATTAAAATTTAAAAATCTTTAAAGGGCACCCCTTTTTTTCAGTTAATAATGTGTAAGAGAGTGTGTTGGCATGGTTAAATACCTAGGACCTTCAGTTCTTTAGGAATTGGCTAAATGGTCGGTATCATTCTTACAAAAGTGTCTTGAACTTAATGTAGCTTATGTAAAAAAACAAAATTTATATTTTTAATTTTCAAGTAAAAAAAATAATGATCTTATATCCACAGTTAATCAGAGGAGATGGACCCAGTGAGAGTACGTGTTCATAGCACCTACCTGGGCACTACTGTCATCTGAACTATCCTCAGAGCTCTGAGGCTGAAGGAGGCTCTGATTCTCATGGCTCAGCTCTTCTCTAAGCCTCACAACTTCCTCAGGCTTCATGGCCAACTGCTGTTCATCTTTCATATTTCGATTCTGTTGTGAGTCCTCCTCTTTCTGCCCCTCGCTTGGAACAGTGCCCTCCTTGACTGACTCCTCTGGAACTTCCTCCTGCTTACTTTCTCCTAATTCAGGTCTTGGTGGAATATAACAATAAAAAACTATCAAAATGATTATTATAGTAGCAGACTAAGTCAGGAAATACTATAAACAAGATTTTCTAGTTGCATTCTATTTCAAAGTAGTTATCTTATAAATATAAAAAAACACATGCATCATTTTCTTTTGTACTCCTATTCAAGGAGATAAGCCATCACAGATTTTTATTTACAATTAACCAGGTTAAATGAGTTTTATGTTTTTTCAGCTTTAGAATAGCATTGAGCAGGTTTTGGTATAGGTATAGGTTATAGAGATTTTAAAAGTCAATCAATAAGCACTAGGCACTTTGGCAGGCATTAAGGCTGTATACAAAAAGACATAACCTCTGATTTAAGGATCTTACAATTTAGGAAGAAATAAAGATAAGTAAAGAAGGGACCAGCAGTTGACATAACAGCTATGTCACTGGACTCCCATGTAGTCAACTACAGTTCGAGTCCCAGACCCCGTGGTTTAAATCAGTTCGAGTCCCAGACCCTGTGGTTTAAATTCACAACACATGCCCAAGATCCCAAGAGGAGAATGGATTGCAGCATGGCCATCCCCCTGGGGGGTGATTTCTCACTTTCTGTCTCTCTGTCTCTGTCTTTCTGGCGAGAGCACATGCCCTATAGCAAAAAACTCTCAAAAAAAAAAAAAACGATAAGTAAACAAGCAATTAGATTAAATGATGGATAAGCAGGCACAGCTAGACAAGTATAAACGTAGACATATACGCTAGTATAGGTATAAGGATGTTGACATGCGTGTGATGTTGTAGATGAGAACGTGAAAACACAAAGGTGGTCCAGGATGACTTAACAAATAAGATGTATAAAACCCCAAAAGCAAAAGAGAGAATGTACTGTAGAAAAATCATGAGAATGCTAGGGGCCAGCAGGTGGCATGGTGATTAAGGTGCTGGAATTTCCACATGGCCGGCCATGGTTTGAGTCCTAGACCTGGCGGCTTGCTTTCTCACTCTCCCTTTCTCTCTCTCTCCCCCATCTTTCTCTGGCAAAACTCATGTGAAAAATACTCTTAACAATAATAATAATAAATAAATAATTCTTTTTAAAAAAATCATGAGAATGCTGTGTGGCAGGGAAAAAAACTGTGGCGAGATTGATATAGTAATCGATGTAATCAACAACAGTGACGACAAGATGGATTCTAGAGATATTTTTTTCCCTTCTCTCTCTCTCTTTTTCTTTTTCTTTTCTTTTTTTGTGAGATTTTTGCAATAGGGCACATGCACTTGCCAGAGAGACAGAAAGTGAGAAATCACCCCACCAGGGTGATGGCCACACCACAATTCCTTCCTCCTCTATTTTCTCTTGGGATTTTGAATGTGCACAACACACACACACACACTCGGCATGAGTTTTAAACTACTAGGTCAAGGACTCAAACCATAGTTGACTATGTGGTAGTCCAGTGACATAACCACTATGCCATCTGCTAGTTCTGAATTCTGGAGATATTTTAAAAGACATATTGGTAAGATTTATCTTGATAAGATTTATCTTATCAATGGTGGAATGGGGAGAAAAAGGAATCATGGATGGTGCCTGGATTTCTGACCGGGGCAAATGGGCAAGTGGATGATAGACCACGATGGGAAAATGAGGTCACAGACTGGAGCGATGCCCATGGTGACTGTACAGACGCAGAAGATGTGAGGAGAAATGGGGTTGGAAAAGAAGAGCCGGGGAAGCCACGGAAGCCTAAAGAATTGAAAGGAAGAAGCAGAGGAAGCTGAGAAGCCAGAGACGGAGGTGGAAAACCAAGAGACTGTGAGCCACAGAACCAAAAGTAGGGAATGGACCTTCATGGTTACAGGGTGCAGACAGAAAATAGAGTGAAATAACTATTAAATATACATATACATACATAGAACACAAACATGCCAATTTTTTTTTTTTTATTCCTTCAATCTTAAGTTTTGCTTTGGCTTCCTTGGAGCCTAGCACCGTATGCTTCACAGATTATAGCTGGTGCCCAAATCCTTTAAGAAAGCAATTTGGCAATACAAACAGAGAGCCATACAAATGCTCAGACTCCTTGAGTAATTGCACACCAATGAATTTACTCCAATAAAATGTCGAAGGAAGAAAAAAAGCTGAATATATAGTATTGCTTATAACAATGCTATTTAAAATAGCAACTAAATGGAGATACTGTATTGGCTAAGAGAATTAAAGATAATTTGACTTGACTACCATACGAAGACTACTCATCAGCATGAAAACCATTATCAAAGTAAATTGCAGAATCAAAAAACTATGTATATATATATATATAGAGAGAGGTACATTTACATCATATGCACTATGGGAAAATGTACATTTAGAAAAACCGAAGAGGAATATGAAGAAAAATTGTGTCTAAGAAGTGTTTCTTTCTTTTAAAATTCCTCTAATGCCATATAGAAAATAATTACTTTATTTTGAACTAAGTAGTTTCATAAACATAATACATTCAAATTATATAAAGCAGTATGAGATAGAGTAATATGCTTTAAAATATTTTTTTAACAAAATAACAATAAATTTTCCCTTCATCTATAAACTGTTTTTGTTTTCCCATTTCCAGTGGAAGCTAGATACACGTTAAGACTAGGACAATGCGAAAATGTGCATCTGCATGCTTCATTCCAGATGTGCATGGTTCATTCCAGATGTGCATGCACGCCCTGCATTCCAAAAAGATGGAGAAACAGAGGGATTGAAGCATAATCATGCCTTACCGAGGGAAGATGCTTTCTCCCTTTCCCTTTCTCTCTCTCTCTCTCTCTCTCTCTCTGTCTCTCTGTGGCCATAGAGAAAGAAAGTAAAAGAATGGAAAAAAGATACAGCATGGGATCAACAGATGGCGCAATGGCTATATCACTGGACTCCCATGTAGTCAACCATGGTTCAAGTCCTGGAGCTGTTGGCTTAAACTCATGCCAGGCACGTGTGTGTGTATGTGCCCAAAATCCGGAGAAGAGAATGGAGGAGAAGGGATTGCAGCATGGCCATCCCCTGGTGATTTCTCGCTTTCTGTCTCTCTTTCTCTGTCTTTCTGGTGAGCGGACACACCCTATAGCAAAAATCTCCCTCAAAAAAAAAAAAAAAAAGATATAGCATACAATCAAAAGAAAACAGGAGTGTCAGGTAAGGTAGACTTCAGAACAACAACAACAAAATGAATAGAGGAGCAGTATACAATGCTAAAATGGTTAATCCACCAATAAGATATAGCAACCTTAAATATATATGCACCAAACAACAGAACTGCAAAATATTCGTAGCAATAACTCATAGAGCATAAAGGACAAACAGACAAATCTACACTATAGTTGAAGACTTTGACATTCCTGTCTTTTTTTTTTTGGAGAGGTTTTTGCTATCAGGTGCATGCACTTGCCAGACAGCCAGAGAGAGACATAGAGACAGAAAGCGAGAAATCTCCCCCCAGGGGGGGATGGTCATGCCGCAATCCCTTCTCCTCCATTATCCTCTCGGGATCTTGGGCACGCACGCACACGCGCCCGGCATGTGTTTTAAGCCTCTGGGTCTGGGACGCAAACCGCGGTCAACTACGTGGGAGTCCAGCGACATAGCCATTACGCTAACTGCTGGTCCCCTCCTGTCTTGACAATTAATAGGCCAACACAGAAAATCATTTAAATCTTTTGATTCAGAAAAAGAAATGTTTGATAAAAATAAAAAGAACACTAATTTAAGATAAAACTTGTCAGAAAAACAGAAATAGAAACTTTTTCAAAATGACAAAGAACAAAGACAAAAAGCCTACAGTTAACATCATACTAATTAATAATGGTGAAGGCTGAATGCTTTTCCCCTAAGACTGGGAACAAGATAAGGATGTTCACATTCACTGCTTTTATCCAACATATAAAGTTCTAGTTAGTGCAATAAGGCAAGAAAAGGAAATAAAACGCATACAGATTGAAAAAGATGAAATAAATCAGATGACATGGCTATCTATGTAGAAAATCCTAAGAATCTAAAAAAAAAAAAAAAGAAAGTCCAGAACTAATAAGTTAAATTCACCAAAGTCATAGGCTTTGAGATAAATACATAAAAACCAATTGTATTTATATACAATAGCAATAAACACATAGACATTGAAATTAAAAGTACAATACGGCTATGATTGGTCCCCACCAAAACTCACGTTAAGCTTGCTCCCAGTGCAGCTATGTTGGAAGCTAAAATCTTTACAAGATGGGCCTAGAGGTGTGTGAGTCATGGGTGAACTCTAGTTCTCACAGAAATACATTAGATCTCACAAAAGGGGGTTGTTATAAAGTAAGTTTCCCTCTCCTGGACTGACTACCCTTCAGTTGTTTTTCATTTTGTTTTGTTTTTTAAAGAGAGATTTTTTTTTTACTGTAACAGTACGTTAATGGACTGAAGAATTTCCACAAAGGAAGTATGTCGATTCTCAACAAACTGACATGCAGGTTTAACACGATTCATATTTAAATCACATGAGACTTTTTGGATCTATAGACAAGATTATTTGAAATTTGTATGAAAAGGCACAGGAACCAGAATAGCTAAACAACTTTGAAAAAGAAGAATAAAGTGGAACCAGTCCATCCAATTTAAAAACTTATCATTTTCTCATAGCTGTAAAGATTGTGCAGCAATGCCAGAGACACAGTCACATAGCTCAACGGAATAGAATAGAGAATGCAGGCCCAGCCCGGTGGTCTAGTTGGTAGCAAACTGAACTGCAGTGCTGGAAGCCACATGGACAACCAGAGGTTCAGACCCCTGGGCTGACCTTAAACATGCCAGGTGCACGCACACATGCCCAAGATCCCAGGAAACTAGAGGGGTGGGAAAGGGGTCACAGCATCCTGTTAAGGGTGCTTTTCTCTCTCCTCTCTTTCTCTCTCTCATGTGTGTGCTTGCATCCTCTACTATGAGCAAAATAGACAAATTTAAAAAATAGAGCTTTTTGGCTGGAACCGCCATCTTTTTTTAAAGAGAGATTTTTTTTT